TCGTACGTACAGTGATTATGCTGCAGTTTGCTTGCAAGACTCGAAAGCATCACAGTCATTTTGCAACCTTTAGTCACGAGATTGATAATAGGTTGGACTGAAACCCTCTTTCAACAGAGACCGAATGGAGTATGGCGTCTTTCGCTGTCGAGCTGCAGTGGTGGAATGGGGGATGACCCGGGCATGCCTCCTCAATGGTTGTTTCCGCAGCGGCCATGCTCCACGGAGCCAGTCGTGCACGTCGGAATGCATGCTGTGGTGCTGATCAAGCTAGCTTCACTAGTGCCGTAGAGAGTTGTGCATCTTAGAGTTTGGCTTGAAGGCTTGCTTGCCTCGTGAAATAGCATGTCAGCAAAGGCGGCAACTCCGGCCGTGAAGTCCCCAGCCTTCAAACCCTAAGCGCCTTGTAAGGGCGGGACGCCTGAAGCTGTGAGAAGCTGTGCAGGATATGGCAGCTTCAGCCGCTTTGCCCTGACTCTGACGCGGTGAAGCAGACGACCACAGCTTGACCGAGGAGACTCCAGTTGGACGCTTGTGGAAGAGTCGGTGCCAGAGCGCCTCGAAGAGATAAGCGTCTCAAGGCGTCTCAAAGCGGCTCAAGGCGTCGCGAAGGAGGAGCGAAGGAACGCCGAAGGACATCCAGGAAGGACAGAAGGCGAAGAAGCGAGCCACTGAGAATCACCTGGCTGCATCCAGGCCCAGGCCATCGGGCAGAGTCGCAGGGTCGCCTTTGGGCAGTCCACAAAAGCCAGAGAGCCAGCAAGAGCCTGCGGCGAAAAATCATTCGTGCTGCTTGCATGGACCTTAGGAACGTTTCACTGAACTGGGTTGTTTTGGCTTTTCCGTCCGGACCCGGACATGACCTCGATTTCGTGCAGTCTCGTGTGGTCCTGTGAACATTGACGAATCATCGAAGTGTTATTGACATAGGCATAGGCGGCATAAGCGAAGTTGGTGTCCAGTCAAGTCGTAACGGTCGTAACATGATCTGGCAGGTGACGCTTTACCTTAATTGTCGAGACAATGCCCTTTGCCGCTTCCGGCGTGAGCATTGGTTCTTCGGATGTGGGATGCGTACACCTGCATGTGATTTGATGGTTTGCATCTGCCAGCCGTATTGGCCCAGCCCAGCGATGGACATGCACTGAGAGCGCCGTCCTGGCCTGACGGGCTAGATGGAGGGTATCCGTCCTTTCGATGGCAGCTGGGTGCCAAGACTTGCATATGGATGCAGATAGTACTGGACTTTGGCGTGATGCCAGTCTGAGGCCCCGTTAGTACTTTCTGGGAGGTGCAGGTCCCTGCCCAAGAGTCCTTGAGTGAAGGCGCAAGCGCCAGACCTCTGTGTGACAAGGAAAGCTCATCGAGCCCCATCGTCATCGATGCATGGAGGCATCGACAGGCGGCGACATGCTGAAATTCTTCTTCACGGGGCTTTCCGCTCGGAATGCTCATGTCCCCGAGTCTCTTCTAACCACAACCCGCCCAACGGTGATTTGGTTGCTTTCGACTTTTCTTGCCTTTGCGGAGGTGGAATCCAGATCACTGGTCCCCTGCGGTGCGCCGCGCGTACTTGACACATTTGACACCCTAACACTTGCAGACTACCGCGCCACTGCGCTGCATCTGGCCTCGTCCTGAGCGTTTGAGGTATGTCCCAGCGCAGCTTGGGAACCCTTGATGCAACACTGTCCTCCATTCGAGAGGACCGTGCTTTCATGTTGGCACATGTTGGCACGTGTGACAGCTGGCTTCCGAGTCCTGTCAGGATGTAAGGGCAACCAGCGTCTCTGCAGATTCCTCGGCACAATCCTTCCCGGCGTTCTGTGAGTCGTGGCGAACCACTTGAGGTTGGCGCTCTGGGTTCAGGACCTGGCACCAACACACGTCGGATACGCGTTCAGATGTTGCAGTGCCTGACAGCCAGAGGAGATCCCCGTGCCAGCTCTGGAGTCTTATCAGAGCCTTGGTCGTCATCTCTCCTTCACCTGCGAAAGCCATTTAGTGTTGTTCCAACCCCCGCCCGGACTTGAAAGTTTCTTCGGATTCTAATGACTCTGAAGAGCAGCGAGTGGTTCCAATCGAGTCTTTCCTGGGCTGGGGCTTTCATGGTCTTCCTCACTCAGCACAGGCTGCCCCCGATACCGTTGATTCATGATTTCTTGCTGAGGCTGTCATACGCTGTCAACAGTCTGAATTCCTTCGTCGGTTGGGGCTGAGCAACCACAAAGCTGCTTTTCGAGTTTGGAGCAAGTTTCGATCAACAGTTGCTTTGTGGGGTAGGTCAGAAGTTTGCTGCATCCCCGAGAAGCTGGGCACACAGAGCTCCGGGACTCCGGGACTTGGACTCCCGTCATTGGCTACCTGCAGTCGGCTTGTTGCGTTGTGCGGACAAATTTCTACAGAAAACTGTCAAAGCCCCAAGCCAAGCAAGCTGAGAAGATTGCCGAAGTGTATGCGAACGCGGCTGTGGGCAGTTTTTGCATGTCCTGCACTGAGGAGCCCGGCAACCGTCGGCTCGACCTTATCCAGGCAGCCAAGCGCGCGGAACAGCAATAGATCAAGCAATTTGGCATGTAGCAATGTAGCACGTGCCGAACTTCGGCCCACATGAAGACCAACACTTCAGCTTGCCGGTAGAAGCAAGGACAGGATTCAGAGTTGATGTGTCGCGAGGCAGCCTTCCGGCGGTTGGACGTTAATGGTCATGGCTGGGTCACCGTGCAGGCCGGGGTAGCTCAGAGTTGCCGCATGTTAGAATTTGTGAAAAGAGCACACTTGTGCTTGCAGTCTGCTTCTCTAGCGTTCTTAGGATTGTACGGTTCAGGTTTTTGAGATCTTGGGTTTGGCTTCCTTCATGGTCTCTAGGGGTCCAGCCTTCATGGTTGACGGTTTAGCGCTCGCTCTCGAAGTTGCGTGCTGGGGCCACTACAGCGAGAAATCCGCTATCCGAGCATCGCTGGATGCCCTTCGATGATAGGGCCCTGGTGGTCTCTGGAGTGAAACTATCGGCTTGGACAATGTTGGAATTCGACATCGGCACGATGCTGATGCAGCCCGCGAGAAGTTGCCCTTTTGGCGTATTGGGCAGACTCACCGGGCACTGGCCCGTTGAGATGTGTCTCTTACACAACGGGCTGTTGGCCCAAAAAACCCCAAGGAACGGGTGATCCGGAATCCTGCTCGTAAATCCAGTTGAGTATCTTATGTTGGAACTTAACTATGCTAACCGGGCATTTTGCACACGGGCCTGCGGCGGCAGCTCTGGCCACGGATTTCGAGGGCGGGGGTGTCTCCTTCCCGGCGGCAGCTCTGGCCACGGATTTCGAGGGCGGGGGCGTCTCCTTCTCGGCCAGCGTTGCCTCGAGCTTCGACACCTGGTCAAACAAGCTCGAAAGAAGCGCCGCTGGCTCTTGCTCGTCTTCCTCCTCCTCTTCCTCCTGCTCCTGTGCCACCGGCTTTTTGAAAATATACAAACGATTGGTGCCACCGATAGCCGAGAGAGAGACACACACACACACACACACACGATCTAAATTCTTCGAAGAAACCTCGTGCTCGGAGTCCACAGCAGTTGCCTCCATACCGGCCCCATCATCCATTCGGGGTGGAGTCGACATTAGCACCTTGGACCATAAGTGCATATTACATTATACATGCATATACATAGATATACATGCATGCTTGCATGCATACAAGCCGAGGGAGGTGAATACGTAGGGAATGTAGGCCTTGAGGTTGTTAAGCTTGTGGGCAGACGGTTTCGCTTTTATGTTCTACGTCTTTGTCCAATTCCTAGTGTGCTTTCAGGTTTTGGATCTGCAGGTTCTGGGGATGAAGATTTTCAGGGTTTAAGGTCTGAGGGCATCGGGCCTTTTACACTGGGGATCGCTGGGGTCTTTCAGGATGTAGAGGGCTTTCAGGATGCAAGGCTCTTTTTTGGGTTTGGGGTTCTCAGGGTTGCAGGATTTGCAGTACGGTTGAGGCTTCATGATCTAGCGCTGGTTGTAAGGTTGTTTAATGTTTTCAGGTTTACGCTTATTTCGCCAATCCCCCGCTCTGAATCATTTGTCAAACCATGCCTGTCCAACCCGACAGGTCTCAGGGCATGGAACGTACGCGGAGTCGGGTTAGGGAGTTCTCGTATCGCATCCTGCCCCACCCGAAAATGATGCAAACCAGCTTCCAGGAATCCAAGCCAAGCCCAGACGAGTGCATGAGGGCCCAAAGACCGCGTTTGATCTTGGTTTGGACAACTTTGGTGTCTCACCTCACCTGAAAATACTCCATAGTAGGTTCTGGAGCCTGAACCACACCACATGAGCTTTTGAAGTGAATTTCATCATGGTAAGAGCATCTCCCAAACCTTACCAAATGCAAGTATCAAACTGTGGAGATGCCTTACGCATGTGTGGTATCCCATCCCGACACAACCCGGTGTCGTGGGGGTGGGGGAGGTGGGCGCGCAAAATATCTCTGGCGAAAATGTTCTACATTTGCATTTTTAAGTCCAACGATTGAGAGTCTGGAAGCTGGTTGGAGAGCATTTCTGGTGTTTGACTCAGTGCCACTCAGCTGTGCCCGCAAGCCTTTTCCCGCCCTGCAAAAACTTTATCCGGCAGCTGCCTGGCAAGGGATGTGAGATGGTTTTGTTTGTTTCTAGGGTTTGGGGATCGTCCCACATGCTCGGCGAGGGCAAGGGCGTTTAGGGCTCATGACTTTGGGGTTAGCAAGTTTTGAAAGCCGGCCGCAGGTCATCCACTTTCATTTCTGTAGTGTGCGGTGCAGCACAAGAAGCTCCTCTACCTGCATCTTTCTACAACTTCCTGCTGGTAGAGACAGGGGCTGGAGAATGTACTGGGGTCCCTATGGCGACGCGTCTATAAAGACCTACCAGTCATGCCTCTTTTGCTGGGATTGGTCGGCTAGAAGCACGCGCGAGGCGAGAGTATGTAGTAGATATGGGAAGCTCTATTACTCCTTTAATTGACTGACAGGACATGGTGGCAGGATTGCAGCACTTCAGCAACATGCCGCACAACGAGCGGCAGCGAGCCCATGACTCAGAGGGCGCGGTTCAGAGCACGGCACATGGCAGTGATGGCGCGCCAGAAACGAAACAGTGTTGTTGTAGCTTTTGTTCAGAGATGCTCGGAGGTACTGTTCGGCCTGTGCGGCCAAGGCGACGCTGAAGCCATGCAGTGTAATTCCGATATCGATGCGAATGCGAGTGACTGCAGGGTTGGACCCCAACACGCGGGTGTCCATTGCAACCTTCGTCGGGTGAGCCCAAACCTCCAACCATCTCAGTGGGTATGGGGGATGTGCCTAGGTACTACCAGATGCTGGGTGCCTCCATTGAGCGCGATCGAGATTTCGAGGATTTGCTTCGGCATCATTGGGGCTTCGCCGAGGTCGGGACGCCGGAGTCGCCTGGACTCGGAGTCTCCGCTTTTAAAGGATCTCTTCCTCGCCGGAGGTCTCCACAACTCTGGAAGACATGCGTGGCAAGTTCGCAATGGTCACCTGACAGAACAGTAACGGTCTGGCAGCGGCGTCCTGCATCATACCTCTGAGGTAGGACTGGCATATGCATTCCGCAAGCACCTGGAGCAGGGACCTCAGAAGCATTAAGCTGCGTTTCTTACCTTCGGGGGGGGGGGCGTGCCTTTCAGGACGGGGGACTCCCAATTGTCCCTGGAAGCCTTCCAGCAGGCCTGTGGATGCCAGCACCAGCCAGTCCACTGAGCCCGAAGATGTCTTCTGCTGCGAGCATCGGATGCTTCGTAGGCCTTGTCCCAAGTGGGTCGCTGGCTGAGCTTATCACAGCTAGCCTGCCCCGTGCAATCCAGCGTAAGTGTGCAGTCTTCCCCGAGGCATGCAGTACAGCGCTGCGGACTTGTGCGGTGTCTTCGAAAGTCTTGGAAGTGGCGCCCAGTCTTTGGAGGCCGGAATCCCGTAGTGCTGGGAAGTGTCAGTCGGACTTGCTTCTGCAACCGCTGAGGGCATTTCTTCTCTCTGTGACAAAAAATGGAAATATACGCAGAGAGTTTCCGTCCCAAACTCAAGCCGGGACTCTGCTCAAAGGACAAACAAAAAACAGACTCGACCTCAACCGGTCGCTCTGCCGGAACGCCTCAAGCAAGCAAAGAGCTCCCGTGCGTGCTGCCTGTGCCAGGTCTACCGGCTTGTGGAGCATGTGATGCGTGCCCCACTGGGCGCTCTGTTAGTCCGGGGACCTGCACGTGACACGAGGTACTCCGGCTCCGGCAGCCGTGCACCACGCGACGCAGGCCCCGACCGCAGGTCGTATGAGGCTTTATTTAAGGGGCTGCGCCCAGAGTCGGGCAACGCAGGCAATTCATTCATGCATTCCTTAATTCATTCATTCATTCATTCATTCATTCATTCAATCAATCAATCAATCCATCCATCAACCAATTTTTCAATCAATTAATCAATCATTCAATCAATCAATCAATCAATCATTCAATCGTTCGTTCATTCAATCATTCATACATTCACTCATTCATTGGGCGGGGGGCAGCAGGGAAGCATCTTTGC